GCCCCCTTGTATGTTATTTTCTCCTTCTCCCTTGCTGCCTTGAGGATTGTCTCTTTGTCTTTGATAGTTGCCATTTTAATGATGATATGTCTCGGAGTGGGTCTCCTTGGCTCCCTCTTGAGTGGGGTCCTCACAGCCTCCTTTATCCATGAGACCTTTTCTCTCCTCAAATGGGGAAATTTTCCATCATTACATTTTCATAGATGTTCTCTATCTCTTCCTCCTCTTCTTCTCCTTCTTGTATCCCTATTATATGGATATTATTGCGTTTCAGGTTGTACTGCATTTCCCTAAATGCCTCTTCATTCTTTTTGAGCCGTTTTTCCATTTCTTGTTCTTTTTGGGAGCTTTTTTTCTACCTTATCCTCCATTTCACTGATTCGATCCTCGAGTTCATCCAGCTTGCTTTGGATTCCTTCTTCTGTGTTCTTCAGTTCAGAAATGGTATTCTTCCTGTCTTCTTGTGTCTTCTTGATAGTTTCTATGTCCTTTTCCAAGGTGCAATAGTTTGCTGTAAGATCCTGATAGTTTCTCTGCGGTTTCTCATAGTTATCTTTGAGCTGGCTGAGCTCAATGAGCTTCCTTAGAACCATTGTTTTGAATTCCATATCTGATCGTTCCCTTGCCTCTATTTCATTTAGCTCTCTCTGTGGGGAGTCTGCTTTTCCACTCATTTGGGGGAACTTCTTTTTCTTCCCATTTTTGTGAGAGTCTTTTAAGTAATTTACTTATTTATTTATTTATTTTTGCTTCTGCTTCGATTGAGCTGTCTAGATTTCCTGAGTTTGTGGAATAAACTTCTAGGGTAGTAGATGGGTCTTTTTATGTATGTATGTATGTATGTATGTATGTATGTATTTAGTCTTTACTTCTTTCTGGGCCTGCCTCTATTGATGTCAGTTGTTGACCCTATATGACCTTGGGTTGTTTGTTTGAGCTTTCCAGGAGTCTAATGTCTATGTCTGACTCTGGGCAGCTGTGTGACTCCTTCGGCCCGGGATCCACTATTTCTCCAGACCACTCTGCACTCAATGGTCCACGCGGGCACCAGTTTATGCCTGCCCTCGCCCTATCTGTGAACTCCTTTTCAGGCCCCATGGGCGCCAACCTGCGGGAGCCCTCCCCGGCCTGCACGGTCCCGGGTCCACACACGCGCTCACAAACCCTTGCTGACCATTCCCCAGGTCTGTGTGTGCACACCTGCACTGGATGGTTTTGGGCTGTCTATTGTGTGCTTTTCAGCTTTTGGCTCTTTGGGGGCATGGCCTGCTTGTGCATGAAGGAGACTAAGGAAAGGAGAAGGAGTTGGGATTCCCCAATTCCTCCTCTTGTTCTTTCCCCAACGCCTCCATTTCCAGTCTCTCCTCAGGGGTCTCTGGGCAGTTCTGTGACCCACTTTGGCCGGGGACCCACTACTTCTGCGAACCGCATTGTATTCTCAGGCCATGTGGCTCCCGAGCGCCCTGCTTCTGCCTCTTTGGGGGCGCATCCTGCCTACACAATATGGAGACTACAGAATTGGGTGTGAGTCCGGACTCCCCGATTCCTCCTCCCGTTCTTTCCCCAACGCCTCTGTCTTCAGTCTCTCCTCAAGGATTTCTATGCAGCTGTATGACCCCTTTGGCCAGGGATCCTCTATTTCTTCGAGCTTGTCTGCACATAGCCCCCCAGCTCACACGTGCATAAGCTGTGTGCAGAGCGCACAAAACTGCAGAGTGGAAGTGAGTTATCACTGGGGCTCTGCCAACCACCATCTCAGTTCTCTTCACAAAGTCTTCCTCACCAATATTTTCCCAGGCACCAGCCCACTCTGCTGCTGCCTCTTCGCAGAGATCAAGGAGGGTGGCTGCCACTGCAAATTTTTGTGTTGGCCCTTTATATGTCTCTTTGCATCCCCAGCCGCCAGTCTCTGGCAGAGAGTGCCCCGAAGCTTTTCAGGGTTGCATTTTGTCTGTGTTTTCTTGGTTTTGGCTGCTGTATTCTAGGGGTCCCTGTTTATGGTTCAGACCATGTTCTTCTCAGGGGGATCCAACTGGCCATTTCAATGTCCCTCTGGTGCTGGAGCCCATGGGCGCCCAACCCACCCTCTCGAGCCTCCACCACACTTCTCACCCGTCGGGATGTGTGGGAGCTGAATCCACTGTCTGTATGTGGCTCCAAGGCTCCTCTCCCTCTATTGTTCCATTGTTTTCCAGGTGATTTCTCCACTATTTAGTCGCAATTCCAGTTTGGTCTTGGGAAGAGGTCAGCGTGACTCCCATTCACTCCTCTGCCATCTTCCCCTCCCCAAGGTTTTCTTTATATATTTAGGTGTTCCTAGATTGGGTGCATTTATCTTTACAAAAGTTATAACATCTTGCTGGACTACTCCTTTAAGTATTATATAGTGACCTTCTTTATCTCTTGTTATGGTCTTTGTTATGATGTCTACTTTGTCAGATATAAGTATTGATACCTCACCTTTTTTTTCATGTCCATTTGCATGGAATATTTTTTTCCATCCCTTCACTTTCAACCTCTGCATATCTTTTGTTATGAGATGGGTCTTTTGTAGATAGCATATACATGGGTCTTGTTTTCTTATCCATTCAGCTAAGTTATGTCTTTTGATTTGAGTATTTAACTCATTTACATTTCAGGTTATCATAATCGTTTTACCTATGGGAGTGGCTTGCTCTTCTCAAGAAAAATGGCTGCTCTCATATGGTGTTATATCCTAGTGTTGGGAACCTAGCAGATATTACCCATGCATCTCCCTCAAGCCTCCTTGTCCAGACTCTCCTTGCACGACTGCAATCCATGCTGCCCTCCCATTTCTGGAGCCAAAGGTGAGAGTGGCTGGGAACACAAATCTTGTGCATTGGCCTCATAAGAAAAGAAAGGGGAAAAGAAAAGATAAAAAAGTGGCTTTGTCTCCAGTGGGCTCTACCTCCAGTAGGCAAAAAAAAAAACCCATGGTCTTTCCCTGCTGGATGCTACATGGGTGGATGATCCCAGCACTGGTGCTCTGTGCTTGAGAGCCCAGTCTGGCCCAGGCTTCATTCCTCTCTGGGGGAAGCTTCCACAGCTCTGCAACCACCATGCGCACCACCCTTAAAAGCAGTGCTGGCCCTTCTTACATTCTTGCCCTTTCTACCAGTAACAAGGTGGTTTCTGCCCATCCTTGGTTAAGTATCTCCTTTTCAGGTACTCTTCAGTTGTTTATTTCAGGTGGATGTTCCCCTCTTTATTTTTATTTTCAGCTTGGTTCTGGGAGGCAGTGCAAGGTAAATTCTCCTACTCTGCCACCATCTTGCCACAGTATATTCAAAAGTAAAATTTTGATCTTAGAAAATATCTGAGACCTCTACCCTGATGGTAAGATGATAAGCCCAGAAAAATTCATGGTTATATCTTGATTACCCTTTCAGTCCCTCAAGTGACTTTCAAAATATTGATGGTTGTCAACTTGTATGCCGACAGCATTATGGACACCTCCAATATAGCAGTGAACCAAGTAGACAAGCCTCCTGTAGTCAGAGCTTGTCATCCAGACAAGCTTTTTTCCTTTCTAATATTTTCCATGCAAATAAATATAGAGATAAAATATATTTACATTTGTTCTACAAGAGATAAAAAGATAAATTTATGGACACTAAAGGGAGATCACCAGCTCCTCTCTGAAGAGGTATGATTCATTGTATCTTTACCTGCTGAACCAGTCAGACCTTGGACTCCACCTTGCCTCATGTGCTTGACAGCTGCTTACTGTGAATTTCATATTTTTGGTAATCAAAGCACCCTCCATTATCACTAAGGGCACTGAGCTGGACAAAAAGATATATAGACATTTGTCTAATCACAATGCTGTACACTTGAAACTAATATAAGTAAATATTAAATGTCAACTGTAATTGAAAAATAAAATTTTAAAAATTGTATTTTTAAAATATTTTCTTTATGTTTAGAGAGAGGGGAAGGGAGAAAGAAAGAGAGGAAGAGAAATATTGATGTGCAAGAGAAACATCGATTGGTTGCCCTCCATGTGCCCCCAACTGGAGACCTGGCCCAAACCCCAACAGGTCCCCAACTGGAGACCTGGCCCAAAACCCAGGCATGTGTCCTGACCAAGAATTGAACTGGCGGTCTTTCGGTTTGCAGGATGGTGCCCAACCCACTGAACCATAGCAGTCAGGACTAAAAAAAAGTATCTTAAAAAAGATATGCAGATCATAATGGCTTTTTCTTGTCACTATACATCAAAGAGAAAGTCGGCCAAAATTTCATTTTCTGGGACTTCAAATTCTGTCTGTACATTATTGATAGCTAATTTATTAATTCCTCTAGCTGTCTTTTTTTTTCGTAGCAGACTTGCCTTGAACTACAATAGCCTCTTACTGAGAGGCAGTTATGGGAATGATGCACGAGGTATACCTGTCCTAGAGGGATAATAGGAGTGGTGATGTGGACTTCACCTAAGACAAACCTCACAATGTGAGAGGTGGCCCACTTGTCATTCTTCTTATCTATTCAACCAGTACTTACTAAGTGTCTCCTATGTACAAGTTGGGTAAGAGCATCCATTCTCATACCAGCATTTCCAGTAAAGGTTTCCATTTTCAGCTACCACTAATTCATTTATAGATCAAAAACTACTGTATTTTACTGTGTATAATGTGCACTTTTTGCCCAAATTATTGATGGAAAAACAAGTATGCACATTATATATGGGCAGTACTAATTTTATATCTATATAAATGTTTTTAATTATTTTATTTATGTTTATGTGTTAAAAGTGTAACTTTAGAAAGCAACAACAATATCCATATGCAAAACAATACCCTGGAACATGATAATTGGTTTTGTTTTTAAATATAAATAAACAAAAAATTGAATTAAAAATTAAAATGATTTTCTTCCTGAAATTTTGGGCCTATAATGTGGGTGCACATTATACATGGGAGCATATTATACACAGCAAAATATGGTATTTGGACAGAAGTATTAAATTGGGTACCACAGTGCTCTCCTAGGTAGCACATATACTAAAATTGGAATGATACAGAGAAGATTAGCATGGCACCTGCACATGGATGACACACAAATTAATGAAGCATTCTATATTTTTTTAAGCAGCCAGTTGGATTCCCCTGGGAAGATGGGGTATAAACACTAAGCTAAGATCCCGAGCCTCAAGCACCGGTGCCCCAAAAGTACACAGATAACAACCAGTGGCTAAAAGCAGCAGGGTTGCTCTCTGCCAGAAATGGGTGGCTGGAGATGCAAAGAGTGATTTAAAGGGCCAATGCACAAATTTTCATTTATAGCCATTTCCCCTGGGCTCAGGCAAGGGGGGGGGAGCAGATGGGTTAGATATTCCTGAGGAGAGACTGGGGTCAGAAGCTTTGGGAGGGGGAACTGAGAGAATAGACACTGGGATCCCTGTGCGTAGTCATCCCATATAGGTCAGCAGCCATCCTGCTCATCCTGCTTATGAAGACCGCTCCTCTCTGAGCAGCAGAAGCCAGAGGGGAAACGATAGCCTTGACCCCAGGAGGGACTCTGCCATGGCCTTGTGGTACTTAAGCCTGACTGCTGAGTGTAAAGTGACTAGATTAACAACTGAAGGAGAGAGCCGCAAATGTTAGGTTCCTGGAAGTCTCGAACAGGCTGCCTAAGGTCAAACAGGACCAACATCTGACATCACCAGCGGTGGATCCAGAAAGAAAAAACAGTGGTAAATAATAGAGGATACCAAGATGAAATCCACTGTGGTCTTCTCCATGATATGCAATATTTTCTTACTTGTATAGCTTTTTAACATTCATTTCTTGTCCATCAAGTTTGGACATATTCCACCTTCTTCATTTCCTTTTTAACTCATGATGTAAATTTTACTTTCTCTTTTCACATTGCTCCAACTCCCAACTCTTATTAGAATTCCTCCCTCTATCCTCTAAAAATCATTTTTCTTTCAGGAGGTCATCTCATATCTACTCTCTCTTCTTATAATAGTCTTAATCTCTACACCCTTATTTATATTGGTACATTTGGTGTTGATAGTGGGACTGCAGGGGGTGTATTTTTGTGGGTGTGGGTTTGTCTTCTGGGCTTTGTGGTTTACTTTTGTAGCACCTGCCACAGAATACAAGATGTGGTGAACAGGGTGACCCTAAGTCAACCAGCTTGAAGGAAGGATCCACTAAAGAAAAACCCAAGAATAATCAAAACCCAATTACATTCGGAAAGCCAACACATATGTCATAAAGGGCATACCAAGAGGATGAAGTTCAAAAATCAAGGAGACGTCACCACTGAATCTCACAGGTCTCCTACCATAGAAGTTCACACCACAAAGACTTGGAGTCAAAATAGATCAACTTAAGAAGCAGAAGTAAACAGGAAGAGTTTCACAATGTGAAGACAAAGAAACACCCACCAATCAAAAGGAAAGGAGGATCCTCAGAAAGAGTCCTAAATGAAATAGAGGCAAGTCAAGTATAAGATCCTGAGTTCACAAAAGTAGTTATAAGGAATCTCAATGAGCCAGTGACAGTTGCCAAAAACTAAAGGAAAGCTATGAGGAACTTAATGCAAACTACATCAAAATGAAAAATGACATAGAACCAAACAAGAGTCAAGAGGAAATGAAAAATACAGTTTCTGAATTGAAGGACACAGTAAAAGGAATCAAAAGCAGGCTAGATGAAGCTGAGGATCTAATCAGTGAGCTGGAAGACCAGGTAGAAAATAACTTCTAGAAAGAGCAGGACATGGAAAAATGACATAAAAAAATGAAGAGGGATTAAGGGAGCTGCAGGACAACATGAAGCTTAATAATATCCATATAATATGGATAACAGAAGAAGACGGAAAGCAAGGGATAGAAAACATTTTTGAAAAAGTCATGATGGGAAATTTCCCTAATTGGAGGAGAGAAAAAGTCACACAAGTCCAGGAAGGACAGAGGGTCCCATTCAAGAGGAACCCAATGAGGCCAACTCCAACACACATCAGCATAAAAATGGCAAATATCAAAGAAAAAGAGAGAATCCTAAAGGCAGCAGGGGAGAAACAGGTAGTAACATACAAGGGAGCCCCGATACAGCTAGCAACTGACTTCTCAATGGAAACAGTACAAGCCAGAACGGAATGGCAAGAAATATTACAAGTCATGAAAAGCAAAGACCTGCAAACAAGACTGCTCTACCCAGCAAGGCTCTCAATTGCAATGTAAGGTGAAATGAGGAATTTACCAGGCAAAAGGCTAAAAGAATACACCTCCACCAAGCCAGCATTGCAAGACAAGCTAAAGGGACAGCTTTCAGAAGATGAAGAAAAAGAGTGAGACAGAAGAATACAGGTACAAAAGAGGAAAATACCAATGAATAAGTACCTATCAATAATAACATTAAATGTAAATGGATTAAATGCTCCAATCAAAATACATAGGGTAGCTGAATGAATAAGAAAATATTACTGGCTCATATGGTGCCTTCAAGAGTTCCACGTCAGAACAAAGAACTTACACAGACCAAAAGCAAAGGGGTGGAAAAAAAATATTCCAAGCAAATGGACAGAAAAAAATCCGGGGTAGCAATACTTATATTAGACAAAATAGCTTTCAGAAGAAAAGCATAAAAAGAGACCCAGAAGGACACTTTGTAACAGTCAAAGTTAGAATTCCATAAGAAGACATAAACACTGTAAATATATATGCACCCAACTTATGAGCACGCAAATATATAAAGAAAACCTTAGAGGACTTCAAGAAAGATATAGATATCTAAAGACGGCAGAGGAGTGAATGGGAGTCACTCTGACCTCCTCCTCCCAGACCAAACTGGAATTGTGACTAAATAGTGGAGAAGTCACCTGGAAAACAATAAATGGTAGTGGGAGAGGAACCTTGGAGCTTCGGGCAGACAGTGGAATCAACTTTAACATATCAGAACAGCTGAGAAGTGCTGTGGAGGCTTGAGAGGGTGGGCTGGGCGCCCACAGGCACCAGCACCAGAGGGACATTGAAATGGCCAGTTGGACCCCCCTGAAAAAAACAGGGTCAGAACCATAAACAGGGACCCCTAGACTACAGCAGCTGAAACCAGGAAAACACGCAGACAAAATGCAACCCTGAAAAGCTTCGGGGCGCTCTCTGCCAGAGACAGGCGGCTGGGGATGCAAAGAGACATTTAAAGGGTCAACGCAAAAATTGCAGTGGCAGCCACCCTCCTTGATCTCTGGGTAGAGGCGTCAGCAGGGTGGGCTGGTGCCTGGGAAAAGACTGGTGAGGAAAACTTTGTGAAGGGAACTGAGATGGCAGCCAGTGGAGCCCTGGTGGTAAAACACCTCCCACTCTGCAGCTACCATCTCACTGAGGCATAGGGAATCAATTATCCTGCCTTTTGTGTGCTCCGCACACAACTTGTGCATGTGTGAGTTGGGGGGCTAAGTGCAGACTGTCTGGGAGAGCCCTGAGGAAAGACTGGAGATGGAGGAGTCATTGAGGAGAGAACGGAAGGAGGAACCGGGGAGTCCTGACTCCCTCCCCAGTCGGTAGGCTCCATTCTAGGCAGGCAAGGCGCGTCCCCATAGAGGCAGAAGTGGGGTGCGCATGAACCAGACTGCAGGCGATTGAAACGCAGTCCACACAGGTAGTGGATCCTAGGCCGAAGGGGTCACAGAACTGCTCAGAGACCCCTGAGGAGAGACTGGAAATGGAGGCGTTGAGGAAAGAACAGGAGGAGGAACCAGAGAGTCCCGACTCCTTCTCCTTTCCCTAGTCTCCATTGCGTGGGAAAAGGACACACCCCCAATGAGGCAAAAGCCGAAAAGCACACAATAGAGAGGCCAAAATCACCCAGTGCAGGCGCGCACACTTTCGCCAAGTGGCCGGCGAGGGTTGGCGAGTGTGTGTGTGGACCCGGGTGGGCTGGCGAGGGCTCGCACGGGCTGGGAAGGCCTCCCACAGGTTGGCACCCATGAGGCTTGCAAGGGAGTGTACGGATCGGAAAACACAGGTGTAAATCGACCCACGCAGCCGGGAGTGCAGAGCAGGCCACAGAAATAGTGGATCTCCGGGCTAAGGGGTCACAGAGCTGCCTGGAGTCCCTGGAGGAGAGACTGGAGACAGGATTAACCAGAGAGTCCTAGAGCTGACTTCCTCCCATTTCTGTAGTCTCCATTTGGCGAGGGTGAGAAACGCATCCAAAGAGCCAAAAGCAGGGAAAGCACACAATAGAAGACTCTAAACAGACCAGCTCCAGGGTGCCCGCCGACCTGGGGGACCAGACAAGTATGCGAGGTCATGAAGAGCCCCCTGGAATGGGGCAAGCACAAGAGAGCCCAGGCTGGCAGGGGATCCTGCTAGGCCAGGGAGCACGATCAAGGAGCCAGCAGGAGAGAGCAGAGCAAATCACAGAAATATTGGATCCCTGGCCAAAGGGGTCACACAGCTGCCCAAAGCAGCAGTCAAACACAGACAGTAGACCCCTGGCAGGCTCAAATGACCCAAGGCCATATAAGGTCAACAATTGACATCATCAGAGGTAGGCCCAGAAAGAAACGTAGAGGAAAATAAATACATACACAGATACATACATACATACATACATACATAAAAAGACCTGCCTACTACCCTAGAAGTTTAATCCACAAACTCAGGAAATCTAGACAGCTAAATCGAAGCAGAAGCAAAAATAAATAAATAAATAAGTAAATTACTTAAAAGACTCTCGCAAAAATGGGAAGAAAAAGAAGTTCCCCCAAATGAGTGGAAAAGCGGACTCCCCACAGAGAGAGCTAAATGAAATAGAGGCAAGGGAACGATCAGATATGGAATTCAAAACAATGGTTCTAAGGAAGCTCATTGAGCTCAGCCAGCTCAAAGATAACTATGAGAAACTGCAGAGAAACTATCAGGATCTTACAGCAAACTATTGCACCTTGGAAAAGGACATAGAAACTATCAAGAAGACACAAGAGGATATGAAGAATACCATTTCTGATTTGAAGAACACAGAAGAAGTTATCCAAAGCAGGCTGGATGAAGCTGAGGATAGAGGATAACAGGATAGATGGAGGATAAGGTAGAAAAAAGATCCCAGAAAGAACAAGGAATGGAAAAAG